GGGCTTTGAGTGGCCTGTGCAGCTCTGCTTTGAGGAGAGAAGGGCCTGGGGGAAGGGGTGTGAGGTGAGCTTTGCGTGGGCCGTGCTGTGTAAGTTAATGGGTGGCATTCCTCAGTATGGGAAGATAAGGGTGGGTGCCTCTCGTGTGGTATTTGCTCATGGGGTGGCGATGAGCCCTGCTCCTGTGCTAATGGAGGGAGTGTTGGGTCAGCCAGCTTTTCTCCATGAGGCACTTTTCATTTTTTTGAAATGTAGCATTGTCATGAGCTTTCTGCTCCCTCAAGAAGCTGTCTGCTCTTGTAGAGCCAACAGCAGAGGACTTTGGTGCACAGGGTTTGACAAGGGGATGCTAAGAAAGTCCTTTGTACCCTGAAAACATTCCCTTCAGCTGCTGCTCCAAAATGTGAAGATGTTGGGGTGGTCGTGCCTGTCACATTTGATAGGTATCGATTACCAATGAGTGACAGGGTGGGACAAGTCCTGATGCTATTGGAAATGGTGGCCTTCCCTTCAACTGCAGCAAACCCATCACCTGCCTGGGCTGTCTTGAGAATCTGTTTCTGAGAGAGGACAGAGCTCCTGACTGTTTGTACCTCAGTTCTTTTTCCAAAACTATTGCTCTTACTCCCAATCCCCTAGAAACAGCTGCTCTAGGCATTAGCTTGTGCTGAGTAACGTACGTCAGGAAGCTGCTCTGCATTCTGGAGCACATATTTCTGCTTCGTGCTATCTAGTGGCGATTGTGGCCCAGACATGGGGGCTCTTGGAGCAGCCACTGGGAGGAGAGAGAGGCTTTAGAGCAAGTTAAGCTCGCTCTTCAAGCCCTTTCACTTCTGCTGCAGGTTCTCTTGGATGGGTATCTCATGATCAGCATTGATGGAGCCACATCTGCAGATGGCTCTGACTGGTTCTGCTACCATGCCTCTTCGCATGCCATCTTCCCTGTCAACTTCTGCCGGAAGAACAGCATTGACCTGACCCCTCCAAAAGGTGACGTTTAGACCTGTCTGCACACAGGGATAGCCCTGCATGCAGAAGCCACTGGGCTGTGTTTTTTCTGAGAAGTGTCTGGTTCAGATAAACCAGAACCACAATGTCCCAACCTGCCTGTTTTGGGGAAGATAGAGCTGGTTCAGAAGGCCAGTCCCCTTGAACTTGGCCTATATACCAAATCTTCGTACTCAGTGGGAGGAAGCAACATCTCCAAAAGGGCATTAATGACTTGTGGACTAGCTCCTGGAGGACGAGCAGGACAGATGTAGGGTCCCCAAATTTAAGGACAAAGGGTGGGAAGGGGTAAGCTGGAGACATTGCTGCGTGGCTCAATTATACAAATGGCAGGACTTGTCCCTGTTCTTTTTATTTGAATAAATGTGAGACTGTTTCATTCTTGAAAAATATGGAGTTATAGTCACTTTAGGAACTGTTTATTGTCCTGTATAGCCATTCCCAAAAAGGCCTGCTCTGAATATCTGTGTGGCAGCATTTTCAGTCCAGTATTCTCCTGCTCTTCTGCTTTCCTTTTGATCTTTCTGTCTGTGGAGAAAGAGTGGTCCTAGTCGTGGTTTTTCACATACTTCTGGTCTGTCCCTTCCTCCCTTTTCTCTGTGGCCTGGATACATGATGAATGTGGATATTCAGTGTTTGCAGCTTGTGCTTTTTTCAGTTTCCCCACTGGGTGGGGATGCTGGATCTCCATGGAATCCATGCAGTAGAATTATGCTCAGCATTAGCATGATTTGCAAGTGGTTGTGCTTCCTTCCTGCCATTTTCTCTTTTCCTCCACTTGTCAGCATTTTTCCCCTCTGACCATTTCTTCCTGCTGCAGGGCAAGATGCAAAGACTTTCAAATGGGAAAGCTACCTGGAAAGGACAAAGTCAAAACCTGCTCCAGCCCGGCTCTTCAACACGGTGAGTGGTGCCTCAGAGAGGAGATGTGCAGAAATGCCTGCAGTCAGCAGGGGAGAGCATGGGAGGTGCGGGCGCTGCTCCTGGGTTCCTCTGTGCCAGCAGCCAGCGTGTGTGAAGACAGTCCAAGGCAGAGGTGTGCACTGTGTTTAATAATGTCCTGTCTGCCTGGTGGTGATGAGCAGTGTCATCGGTTCATGGGTGGAGCGCTGTGTTGGTTGCTTTGAGGGGGACCTGCCATTCGCTAGTGTTTCTAAGAGTTCTAGGCTACTGGTGGGTTCTGCACCATTTGCTGCCTGTAGAAATGCAGCTGGCACTTGGACTTTTTCTGATTTCCTGGCATAGTTATGGGTTTCATCAGAAGTCCTTAACTGCTGCATGCTGCTGCTCCTAATTGAGGCTCTCATTTCTCAGTGCCGTGCTGAGATTCACTCAGGACACAGCTGGCCTTGGATCTGTTCATATGCCCTCTTCTGCTATAGAGCTATATGGGGTGTGGAAGTCCCTGGCATTGCTTGGGTGTGGAATTATGATGAAGCAGCATCCCCTGCATGCTTCAGACCAGAGGCAGGTCTGTAGCTGTTCTACGCCACTCAGAGTGGATGTGATTGCCTTGGTGTTCTGTTTTCCTGCCACTAGGATTGCCCGAACCACGGCTTCAAGGCAGGCATGAAAGTGGAGGCAGTGGACTTGATGGAGCCGCGGCTCATCTGCGTGGCCACGGTGAAGCGCGTGGTGCACCGGCTGCTCAGCATTCATTTTGACGGCTGGGACAGCGAGTACGACCAGTGGGTGGACTGCGAGTCTCCAGACATTTATCCTGTGGGGTGGTGTGAGCTGACGGGTTACCAGCTTCAACCACCTGTTGCTGCAGGTGAGTGAAAGCTTCGCTGTGGCTTTCTACACCGCAAGCCTAGAGGCAAAGGTTTCCTTCCTCCTGCTCTGTGAGTTGCTCCTGCTTTTTTGGGCCTTGTGGAGAGGAGAAGCTCACCTCTTTTATCCGTGCTGGCTACTGCAAGTCCTTCTCTGATGCTACGCAGCCTAGCAGCTGGCAGAGAAGAGTCTGTGGTGGGGAGAAGACAGCCTGAGGCTTTGGTTTCCCTCAGTTTCCCCCTGGCACGCCAACAGAGAATTGTTCCCTGCTGAAGTTGGGTAGGAGTTCCAGGTGGTCCTATCCCTGCACAGCCTCCCTCTTACTGAGCATACCCACACCCTCAGCCAGCTAGCAGGGACAGCTCTGCCCTCACTCCCTCTTCTCTGCCCCTCCATTCTCTGGCTAAGTCTGTAAAGGTAAGAGCATCCCCCTCCAGAGTTCCTTGCTTCCCTTGTCAAGGAGGGGGCCACTGCCTCACCTTTGCAGATGTTTTTCTTCTTGTCCCAAGCTACAAAACTTGTCTCTCTACTGCCCCTGCCAAATCTGTATTGGGCCTCTCTCCCCGACGTTGCCCCAGCCTGCTGCGCTGAGCCCTCGCCTGGAAGCAGAGCGCAGCCCCGGCGCAGGGCGCTGCCTTCCCCGCAGCTCCTTGTCTGGGGGAGAGGGCGTTGGCTCGGGGGGAAGGGGTGTATCTTGTTTCTCGCTTATGTCACTTCATCCCAGTTACCTACTGGTTATGGGACTTGGCTTTCGTTTCCCTCTCGTCTCCATGACAGAGCCCACAACTCCAGTGAAGGCCAAGGAGGTGCCCAAGAAGAAGAAGAAACCCTATGGAAAGAAGAGTGAGTGATGTTTGATTAGCGCCCTCCCGCTCGCTCACAGGCTGGGCCCAGCTAGAGGAACCCTGTCCATGTCCATGGCAGAGCAGGAGAGAGAGGCCTTGTCTTGCTGTGGATGCCCTCAGCCAGTCTGATAACACAGCTTTGTCCTCCTTCATTTCCCCTGATACCTAGGAGAGCCGAGGGCTGTTTGTGTGGGAAGGACCTGTTCCTGTAGCCTGCTTTCTGTCAGCTGAGGTGTAGAAGGAGCTTGTGTTGAGGCATGAGGTGTGCTGCTTTCCCCCCTGTGTCCATGGGCAGAGGGAGATTCTTTGCCACAGCTGCCGGGTAGCTAGAGAACGACCTTGGCTACTTTGTGCTAAGGGAAAGAAGGTCTTAAGACAACTGAAGATGCCAGTGGTGGGGCTGGATGATGTTATTGTTTGAGTTCTTGTCGTTGTCGTTGTCTTATTTGGAGCTAGCTGAGGCAAATCATGAGCAGACAGGCAAGAAACTCCTTGCCGGGGTTAGAGAGGAAAAGACACCTAAAGACAGTCAACCAAAATAAAGCCTGTTATCTAAAAATGAAAATATTAATGCTTACAGTATCCATGCCTTGGAGCCACCATGCCCATTTCCCAGGGCTAGGCCAGACAGGTAAGCAAAGCTGTTAACAGACTCCAGCAGGACCTGTTCCTTGAAAGTTAAGCCCGTGCTGAAGTACTTTGCCTTTAATCAGGGAGAAGATGGAGTGTATTTTAAGATGATGCATATAGAGGTTTTTCTTCATTAGACCATTTTTCGAGTAACAAATTGGCAGCTAATGAACATGCAGTTGGCTGGCCGGTCTTGTTGGCCTTTGGTTTCTCAGTGGAGCAGGGTTGCTGTTTGTTTTGTTTTGTCTTCTAGGGAAGAGAAGCACACTTTTCCTCATACTTTGTTCTCTCTTTGTTAAGGGAAAAAGATACCTGTCAAAACTCGCACCATCAAGCACACGGTCAAGAAGCCTCCTGGCCCGAAGGGGAAACGCGAGGCGAAAGCTGCCAGCAAAGCCTTGCTGGAGCCGGCCCCCGATGAGAGTAAGGGAGCAGTGGTCTGTCCTGCAAGCAGCCTGTGCCTGTACAGGCTCAGTTAGGGAGGAGAGACAGCACGGAGGTGTTGGAAGACGTGCTGGCCCATTCTGGGTCCCATAGAGGCTGTCACAGCATTTGAGCACTGTCCCTCACGCTGAGCACTGAAGGGTGCGGTGACCCGAAGAGCCTTGGCAGCTGGGTCCCTCACCAAAGCTATTGGGTAGCCGGGAGTAGTGAGGTGCTTTGCATGCATGTGGGTGCAGAGCTTCTGGAGGGTCCAAGTTGCTCACAGAAGTTTCATTTCCCCTCTGGGGGTGTATGCAGGTATGGCAAGGGCCACGCTGGCATTTAAGAGTGGTGGTTCTGGGGAGCAGACAGCTGAATGCTGCCAGGGTTCACTCCCCTCCTGACTGCTGCTGTGGCCACCAGGTGGGTTG